CCCCGCATTTCAGATGCCGCGGTTGATGAGTGAGCGATGGATCATTGGGGATTCATCACTGTGGCAGGGGAGCACCCCCCGTTTGATTGGATTGGTTTAGTACTCCGAGGTCAACATTGGGCCTTTGTGGGGGTACCCTTACCTTGTTGGGGGCAGGCTGCGATAGCGGAGGAACCTTCTGTAGTCTTCCTTCCTCCGGCGCTCTCCGACTGCAAAGAGCGCCGCTCTGCCAAGGTGCCACAAATGATGCAGATGAACTCGCACCGGCCTTGGACTCGCCAAAAGGATTGGCTGGCGACATTTGGCGGGGGCTGGAGGGGAGGTACTCCTTGCAAGCTAGGTGAGATGCAGTGGTTTTGAGTCCAACCAGCGACTGGAACGGGCTCTGTTGATGAGGATTGCCTCCCATTTCGAGGTTTTGATAGTCCATGCATACTTTTCCTCTGCAGCAGCAGCTTTCGGGCTGAATTTGTTTGCTATTTGCATCAGGTGTGCGCGTGTGCGTGTGCGCGTGTGCGTGTGCGCGTGTGCCTCTGCCCCCGTGCGCGTGCGTGTGTGTGTGAGAGAGAGAGACACATTTGCAGTTGCATGACATGCATTTGAATGCTTGTCTTCGCAGCGTGACCGGGCACCCGAACTTTCTCCAAGCACTGGGGCTGCCTTGCTGGCTTGAATTTGCTTGGATGTATTGAATGTCGGTGGGACTTCAATCATTCGACCGTGCGTTCGTGCTTCGGCAAGTGCACGCGCTTTGCCCGTTGTCCTGTTTCTGGAGTCCTTAGGATTGCTTCGTTGGATGTGGAGCCAAACCGCCCAGGATGGACAAGTTCTTGACTGCGCCAGCTACGCAAGGCTGGCAACCCGCTATTGATAGCAGCGCAAAAAATCAAGTTCCAAGGCCTATGGACAGTTTTTTAACCACGTTGCTTTTGGCTCTGCGCACAAACAAAGTTGACTGCAGTGGTGTAGGGATGGGCTGAGTTGCTGTGGCAGTACCCACGAAGAGCTGCTAGATTTATCCGGCGGACAAAACTGTGGCAGTCTATTGTCCCCCGAAGAACCCAAGGGCCGGACCGTCTATTGTTACCAGCCTGAAAAACCGCGCGGCAGTCACACGGTAATGCCTACATTGCGGCAGCCACCCTTCTGTGTCACGTGTGGGGCTTGTGTCTGAAGGAACCTGACTGACTCAACCCGCAGATTGTGTCCAGAAGGCCAGTAGATGCGAGTCGCTTAAATGCGTTCCCATTCGCGCGCCATGGAGTTGCGGAAATTGGCTGTGAAGAGAGCACATACGGCGCGGCAATGTGCTCCAGCCCCCAGCCACGCTTCCTGTCTAACTATGGCTTGCATTTGAATCATGGGAAACAATCTTAAAGATCTAGGCGGTGGCATCGCCATTTAGCTATGCTTTCAAGCAGTATTGCGGCTCAATTGTGCATCAGACAAGCTCACTTCGGTCCACATTTCGCAATCCTTCCCAGGCGAAGACATCCTCCGAGCGCCACTTCGAGGAGCTGGCCAAGTTCCTGAAGTGCGTCGAGAGGGATCCCGAAGCCTTCGAGAAGGCTGTGACCCACGCCAGGGGTGTGGAGTGCGGCTTAGCAGAATTGATTTAGTCCACGTCAAGCACAGTCAGGCATGCGGCACTTGCAAGTTGCCTGAGGGCATGGGTAATGTTGGAACTTGATTAATAAAGGCCCCCCCCAACCATGGAGGCACTAGAATTCTGTAGGCTCACTTTTGGGACGTCCAAACAATGGAGGGTTTTGGGGCCCAATTCTACTTTAGTATTGCAACCACTTCTTCCTGAGCAGACTTTTTGGAGTACTAAGTACGTTACTAGCCATTCAAAGGGTGTGCCTTTCAGCCACGGAGGGCTTGAGTTTTGAGCAAGTGGGCCACCAATTCAAAGGGAATGGTTTTAAGTAAGTGGGCCACCAATCAACAGGGGAGTGCTTTTGAGTAAAGCAACTGACAGTTTATTTTCTGGAGGGGGCTGGGGGCTTGCAACCAATGTGGTCCCCCTAAAGAATGCCTGTTGTGGTTCAGTGGAGTTTGTGAGGGGTACCCTTGTCCTGATTTTTTGAAAACACGGTTTAATAAAGAATTTGCAGTTTCAGGGCTGGGGATGGTTTTCAATTTTCAGAGGTTTCAGCCGGCTTTGGGTTTTGTGTTTGAGCAACCAATTAAAAGGGGAATGCTTTTAAGCAAGTGGGCCACCAATTGAAAGGGGAATGAATTTAAGTAAGTGGGCCACCAATTAAAAGGGGAATGCTTGTGAGTAAAGCAAGTGACAGTTTGTTTTCTGGAGGGGTTTGGGGGCTTGCAACTATTGTGGTCCCCCTAAAGCATGCCATTGTTGTGGTTCAGTGGAGTTTGTGAGGGGTACCCTTGTCCTGATTTTTTGAAAACACGGTTCAATAAAGAATTTGCAGTTTCAGGGCTGGGGCTGGTTTTCAATTTTCAGAGGTTTCAGCCGGCTTTGGGTTTTGTGTTTGAGCAACCAATTAAAAGGGGAGCGCTTTTAAGCAAGTGGGCCGCTAATTGAAAGGGAAATGCTTTTGAGCAAGTGGTCCGTGGGCCCTCTAAAGAATGCCATTGTTGAGGTTCAGTGGAGTTTGTGAGGGGTACCCTTGTCCTGATTTTTTGAAAACACGGTTTAATAAAGAATTTGCAGTTTCAGGGCTGGGGATGGTTTTCAATTTTCAGAGGTTTCAGCTGGCTTTGGTTTTGTGTTTGAGCAACCAATTAAAAGGGGAATGCTTTTAAGCAAGTGGGCCAAGTGGAATGCTTTTAAGCAAGTGGGCCGCCAATTAAAAGGGGAATGCTTTCCAGTAAAGCAACTGACAGTGTACTTTCTGGAGGGGGGCTGGGGGCTTGCAACCAATGTGGTCCACCTAAACAATGCCATTGTTGTGGTTCAGTGGGGTCTGTGAGGGGTACCCTTGTCCTGACTGTTTTTTTTCTTCTTCCTTTTTTAGGGCTGGGGATGGTTTTCAAATTTCAGAGGTTTCAGCTGGGCTTGGGTTTTGTTTTTTGAGCAACCAGTTAGAAGGGGACCGCTTGGAAGCAAGTGGGCCGCTAATTGAAAGGGAAATGCTTTTAAGTAAGTGCGCCACCAATTGGAAGGGGAATGCCTTTGAGTAAAGCAACTGACGGTTTATTTTCTGGGAGGGAGGCGGTGGGGGCTTGCAACTAATGTTTTCCCCGGGCGGGAAAACAAAAAAACTGTCAATTATTCTGGTCCCCATCAACAATGGGGGCGAACCACAATAAGGGACAAATCTTTGCATTATTGACTATCCCATTACTAATCGGGTGCCAACGTTATAGGTCAAAATTAAACCACCAGGGGACCGCAGGTTTCAGTCCATGTTTCCATTTACCAGGGTTCCATTTTGGGTACCTATTTTTGACCCACAGCCATATGCACATCTACATTGAGGGGTTGGCCAGAGTTGATTGCATTTCTGGAAGCTTGGCTAGTCAGCCTTGTCGTCAACCTCGCAGACTAGAGATACCTGCGCTTCCCGAGGTTTGCTGCCAGAAGCTGAGGGCCCAATAATACAGGTGCGCAGGTCGAGTTGCTGTCCGCTCATCCCAGATGTAGGCATCGTCTCCCTGTAGGCTACGGACCAGCGTAGACCCGTTTGAGGGGCCTTTCCAGAGCCAGTGGAACTGGCGGATCTACTCTCAGCCCTTCGTGTTAGTATTTTTGTAGATCGAGTACAAGCCATCTGGAAATCGGGTTTCGCCAATTTTCCACGATTGGCTTGAATGCGCATGATTTTGAAGGTGACGCACACCGTTTCGGGCACCTTGGGATAGACGATCCTTCTCTTGAGCGGGATCAAGCTCCCTTCATGACGGGTCCTGATGCGCTGCTTTCATGCGATGATTTTAGGTTTTTTACAGCGCACAAGCTGTGGCCTGTGCTCCCGGTCCGCGCGCGCTCATAAGGTTGAGCTCAGTTGAGCTCCCCTTCATTTTTGGAATGGCTGCTGATTTAAAGCGTGTTCTCTCACCAAATCGTTGACATATGACATCCACCGAACCTTTGAGCCGCTTTCGGGCGAGGACATCGTTTTCGCCGGACCGATTTCCACATTTCGAAAGCACGAGGGGCGAGAACAGTTGCCCGCTTCGTGTTAGTTGGTTTCAGGAGTGTGACAAAATGACTTGTGCTGCCAAAGGGAATCGTCGGCCCAAGATGTGAGTCCATTCTACACTTGCTCGCGAAGTGGATACGTGACAGGAAGTACTATGGCATGCTGACAAGGCTGTTGATTTGCTTAGCAGCATCAACGCACCATGCACCCTCCAGCTTATTCCGTTGCAGTCCGTCTCTGTACGTGTGGAAGCAACAAGGAGTTTCTTCGTAAGTGGACTCTGGATTTCACTCGCTTCACGGACCTCCGTGCAGAGCTCGAAGGATCCCTGAGCTGAATGGCTTTTCGTTGCGCGGGCGGCCGAAAAATGTGCTTTGCTCTGCGCGGAAGGGGTTAGCTGCCGGTGGCGCTTTGGCTCGGTGCTTGGCTCGGTTGGCGCTTTGGCGCGGCGCCGCGTGCGCGAGGCCAGCTGCCCGCGGGCCAGCGGAAGGCCACCCAGAGCTGCTGCTGAGACGCCCGAAACGCCGCGGCGAAAAGTCGCGCGGGGCCGGCGGCGGGGGATTGGAATTTCCCCACCTAAATGGCTGCTGTCAAAAAGGGGTACCCTAAACCCACCCTGGTAAATGGAACCCAGGATTAAAACCTGTTTTCTTTTTGGTAGTTGAATGTTGACCCACACCTCACCGATGTCCACCAAAGGGTCCCGAATTTTCAAACTCATGCCCAAGCAAGGCTTAAGGCTTGGAGCTTTTCATTTGACAAAGAGCACGTTCCAGTTTGGCGAAACGTCGCTGGTAGCGAAGAGCAGTTGCTTCTCGACAGAATGAGCTCCAACTTTTCAAATTCAAGGCTGGTTAGGCTTCATAGTTTGCTTCGCGTGCTGGCGAGGAGCGCAAGAGGCCGCACAAGCTGGGCGAGCGCAGTGCTCTCTCTCTCCATGTGTTTGTCTTGCGGTTATGCGAGCCACTGTCTTTGTTTGGATTTGGCAGGACCGCCCCAAACAATTTCGAGTTCCAGATTCTCAGAAACCAGTTCTTTTTTGTCCCGAAGCCACTCCAGGGGTCACAGTGAGAAGTTTGTTGACTTGGCAATCAGAGTGGACTGTGGCAGGGTTGGAGTAGTTGCAGGCATGGCTCGCAGAAGTATCTTGCTCCTCAAAGTATGATGAGATGGGATCCTTCTGTATGTTCTCATGATCAGCCTTCGTCGATCATTGCAATATATAGACCTAGGTTGGTCTGTCTTTCTGTTGAGGTTGTTTGGTGGTTTTAAAGGGAATCCAAAGGCTAAATCACGATTCTGGGGGTTCCCCAATGTGAACAGACACCCACGTAGACCTTTGCATGCTCTATCCGGACATTCCAGGCGGATAGAGGCTCGCTATAGCCCGCGCCTTGAAGTGCGGAGCTTTTTTTTCGAACCGCAGCGGGCGGCAGGGATTTTGACTTAATTCTTGCCGCTGTGTGTGTAATCAGGGACAGAGTGGTTCATATACAAGGGTATACGGTATATGTATATATGTATATGCACGGTTTATAATTTGTGCCTGCCAAGCAAGTACCCGGTTTGCAGGCGAGCTACAAGAACAGCAAGAACAGCAAGAACAGCACCTTACCCAAGATGCAGCGCCCAGCTTTGCCAATTTCGACCGTGGCCTAATGCACTGGACCTTCTGCTTTTTCTTCGCGGAAGTTAACACCGTAGGCAGCTCGATCCTGACACCTGCATTTTGCCTAGGTCCTCAGTCGTTGGGCACTGCTGGCCAGTCCAACCCCAGGAAGTTTCATGTATGTGTCAAAATTGGGAGGGCCGCAAACACGGACGGGTTTTGTCCTTTTCGTTTCCCTTTAAAAGGGCAAACCATAGTTCACGCAGACAATGGTTCAGGAGGAGGCCAACTTAAGGCACCAAGCGCTAAGGCCAGCAGCACGCTGCACCGGCCGCAGCCGCGAGCTGAGTAGATTCAATGCATCTATGCCAGTTGGCCAAGGTATTCTTTCGGATCCTCTACATATCAATATTTCAGACACATGTGGCCATGTTTGTTTCTATTTTGGGGTGGGGCGGCCAACAGCCCCAGCCAATTTGTGGGAGTGAGGCCCTGCTTTCTACCGCTGCAGGCTGGGAGTCTCGATTTGACGGGCTTTGCGAAGCTGTGGTGTGTTGGAATGAGTTGATTGGAGCTCTAAGGTTTGCTCTTTTGATCGTAGCAGTTACGAGTTTGAGATGCGCTTCACAGGGTCAAACTAGAAGAGGTGCCAACTGAGGCTTGCAGACCTGACAAACAATTGGGTGCGGGTCAATATTAAACCACCAGCAAACCGCAGATCTTAGTCTTTGTTTCCATTTACCAGGGCTCCATTCTGGGTACCTAATTTTGACCCACAGCCATACCGTTGCCGGGGCGAAAGGCAACGGGGCGCTGAGGCCCGCTCTGGACGCGTCACCCGAAGGCCCAGGATATCAAGAACGGGGCCGCTGAGTGCCGCGGCGGAGAAGAGTGGGCCGGGCAGCCGCGGGTCTGGGGAGAGAAGACGGCGAAATGGAGTTGGAGATTCTGGAGAGGCGGAATTTTGTGATAGGGTTTCTGCTTTTTGATGCGATCGATATGCCGCTTCTTAGTTATTTCTGGAAGCTCGAGTCTTTGAGTGCAGCCCAAGGCTTGTGTTGGGGACAGGTCCTGCTGCAATGAAAGCAGCGCACACTAACGAGCCCGGTTGCTGATCAGCGAACTCTTTCGGGCAGGGGATTCTGTTGATAGACGTGTCCGGACTCCTGCATCGGCATATCAAGGCTGAAACTAGGATGGCCGACTATCAACCATATGGAAAACCTATGGAATGACCCATAGCATCGTGCTGTTGCACGCTGGGGTCGCCCCGTGGAATGCATGTCCGGCACTGTGTGTGTGTGTGTGCGCGCGCGCGTGATGTTTGGACACATCATTACGTTGGAGGGTTTCTGAACAGTGACGTCTGAATCCTGACCCTTTTGTGTGTGTGTGTGTGTGTCACAGTGGGTCGTGCCTTTTGCTGGTGCTGATGTTTCCCCCCCCCCCCAAGCACCAAGGCCAGCCACAGTCGTTGCCGCTCGCTCAGCCTGCAATGCGAGAGCATCCCTTGCAACTTGCTGGGCCCCATGCGCAACGATCAGCGCCTCTAGGTTCACCTGCTTGCTCATCAGCTTGCTCACGGGACAGTGAGCTTCTTTTAAGGCTCCGATTGTGCCAAAAAGTTGAAATGCTCAAAGGAAGAACCGGGAAGCTTGCTATGACAAGGGTTTCATCACACCTGCATCGGCCCACGGTTGAATAAGGTCATGAGCAACACCATGCCACGCCCTAACGCTGGGTTCCCTTACCAGCCGAGTCTCTCAATCGCGCTCCCAGGATTTGCAGCTGCCTGGTGAGTCTGACGGCGAGGAAGTAGATGAGCTGGACGGCCCAGATTTTGCTTGAATGCCATCATGTTGCAAAGGTTTTGCAGCTTTCATTGTCATCAACAGGCCGTACAAAACAAGGTCACGGCAGTTAGCGACCGTGGGACCCCATACCTCCCAACCCCCCCAACCCCCACCGACCCAAAAAGGCGGCTTGGGAGCTCACGGTCGCCAATCGCGCCGTGAGCCAAAACAACCTTGCTGGGCGGGTCTTGTCTCCGCATGATTTCTGAGCAGCTGTCTGACGCAAGTAGCTGGCAACCTGCGATTGGGACTCGGCTGAGGTGTCCGGGTGATTTGCAGCCGAGCGACGCCTATGTGTTGGCCCCAATGGAGCTTAGTAGATCGCGGCAGTGCGAGTTCTGATGTGTTTGAGGTCTATTTTTTCAACACGCCATTCTAGCTTTAAACACGTCAGCACCACCATAGTAGCTACATCCTAAATGAGTTTCAGAGCGGAAAGCCAAAACACAAATATTGCATGACCTTTCTTCATGCCTTCTCCATTTCAAGGAGAGAGGTACTGCAGGTTCACCGGACTTCCTGCGCAAGGGTGTAGGCATCGGAACTTGGCCCAGGACCCATTGCAGCGGGACTACAGCGCTGCTGCTCTGGCCGCAATGGAGAAGCGCAGGCGCTCGGCTGGTGGGTTCTTCAGCTGAGAGAGGTGGCGACAACAGTTTGCTCCTGCTACTGAAATTCAGAACCACGGGAAGTGTCTGCGGTTGGTTTCCAACCGCGACCTTTTTGTTATTGCGGCAACTCCGTTAGGTACCTGAGCAAGCAAGCTGCTAGCTGGTTTAGCAACAAGCCTGCGTAGGATCGATACATGATGAAAGGTGTAGTTCTGACCCTGTGAACAGTCCATAGCCATGCGCCTGTGGACATGTCGTGACGCGACTGGAAGCAACTCAAAGTAACTCTACAACCGAACCACTTGTAAATTCTCGTTGCTGGAGGCAAGAGCTTCTTGCCAACCCTGTGCAGGCTGGGCTGAGCTTTGGGGCAAATGTGGCATGCCAGCCGAGGTCGGTTTGCCAGGCAAACAGGCAGAGGTTCCAACTGCAGGTTGAAGCTCCGCCGGCCCCTGCCGCCCACCCAGCTCCGCAGCAGCCTTCGCAGCCTGTGCAGCCTGCGCAGCCTGAGCAGCCTGTGCAGCCGGAGCCTGCTTTGACTCGGCCAGTGGAGGCGTTTGGTGGGTTGGGGGCTTCTGGTGGGGTGGGTTCGGTGTGCTGCGAGCTTTAGGTGGTTCCGATTTGGCTTGTGTGTGTTGTCCGTGTTTGTTTGTTTCGCGTTGCGGACTGCTTGTTTTCTTCCAGATGCATGACCACTTTCTCTGCCAGTGGTTGCAAGCTTGGACCGCAGCATTGAAGGGACAAAATTCCACGCGTTGCAAGTCACCACGATGGCGAACGTGAATTGACTTGCAGATTGAGACATCAAGACTAATCCGCTTGAAACCTCAACCCTCCAACCCAACCCCCCAACCCCCCACCGCCCGGTGCTGCTTGCTTTGGTTTCCAGGCACCGTTCAGTGGCCAGCTGTTGCGGGTGGTCCACGCCTTCGATGGCCGCCAGTGCCGCAGAGCGGGCTGCTTCTCTTCAGCCCTTGGTATCCTTTCACTGCACAGCCACACTTGCACTTGCTGAAGAGAAACCGGACGTGGATTGTGCAGCAAGGCTCTGGCCGGCAGGTACGGTGAGGAGTATTTGGTCTTGCGCAAAGATGAGGCGGTCGTTTGGCTGCGAGAGGACTCGCGCGCCGATTTTCAGTGCCAAGCTCAAGCGGAGGGTTCGGCGCGAGGAGGCAGGCTGGTGCCTGGGGCGCAGAGTCGGGAGCCTAGGTCCGGCTGAGTCCGGCTGGAAGTTCCCGGCGTCAGAAGGCTGTTTGAGCACACAGAAGGCTCTTTGAGCATGTCCGCGCTGTTCAGAGTGCATGTGGCTGTGGCTCAAAAAACGGTACCAAAATCAACCCTGGTAAGTGGAAACATGGACCAACACCTGCGTAACCCCTCCTGTTTAATTTTGAGCCACACCCATGTGGGAAAACAGTCCAGCGGTTTTGGACAGAGACCCGCTCGCACTCTAGCTTCCAGGGAGTTTGTAGGTGTCTCTTTCGCATGTGCCTGATGCTTTTAGTCATTCCCAAAAAAAACAAACTGACATTCGCCTCGGACATTTCAGCTTGGGCTACAGCTGCGGATGCCTTTGGGAACTGCGAGCCTGCGAGCTATAGGTGGAGCCCAACACACGGCACACCGTCGGCCCCGAGCCTTCGGAGGGCTGGTGGGGGGCCCGAGTTGGCGCGAGGTTCGTCGTCATTTTCTGGAGGGGTGAGGGTTCAGTTGATCCGCATGCACACGAGGAGCCCCCTAGAAGCAAGCAACCTGGCAAGCTCCGTTGGACATTTTCTTCGTTGGAATCGCCGACCTGAAGAGAGTCCTGCCATCCGAGTCACCCGAGCCATATCGCAGGATTCACAGTCAACCGGGCTACCGAGCAATCTCGCCAGCGCTGGATTTGATTAGAACCTTCTGGCACCATTGGCTCGATTTCACAGCCTTGCTCAGGTTTCCTCCTGGTTTCGCAAAGCCACCATGAGAAAAGCGGCGAGGATTGGCGAGTCGGAGCTGTGTGTCTGACGTGTGGAAGGAAGCAAGGAAGGTTCAACGAAGTGGACTTGACTGGCTCATGGAACCTGCTCATGATCTCCTTGGAACACCGCTGTTTGGGGAATCACTGGAAGAGGCTACTTTTTTCAAGAGCACCCCGATGCGTGCAAGGTTGGGTGTTGAAGGACCAGCATTTGGCGGGCCATTGCTTTGTTGACTCGTTTTGGCTCGCAGCAAGATGAGCAAGGGCGCTATCAACAGCTTGTCTTTTTTGAGGGTCCCCCTTTTTGTGGTGTTCAAAGGGAAACCCAACGGGAAAAAGACGATCCACCCACATATTGCACCCAGCGAGACAAAGATCCTCGCATGTGCGGGCGATGTCCAGGCGGGACACTCGATGGGCTGGGATACTAGAACAAATGACATGGAATTGAAGGCACAACATGCTTTACGCAATAACATCATCCCCCCATTCCGTCAACGCCCCCCACTTTTTCTCGTTTTTCAACTCGCGACGTCTGCCCAACGGCTTCCCTGGAGAACACCGCAAGCATGGATGCCATTGAGTGACGCATGCGTGCTCTTCATCAAGTGACGCCATGCAACGAAACATATCCAAAAACACATTCTGTTCAAAGAAACATTTTTATGGATCTCCAACTTGTCCTTCGGCTCCTCAGAGAGGCGCCCGCCGGCCTCACGACTGACGGGCGGCAGTGGGATCCGCTCCTTTGCGTGTGCATGGCCAAAAGAGCGAGAGGATCCATCTCCCCCCAAATGTCGGATTTTTAGGGATGGGGGAAATCAAGTTCGGCACTGGGTCGGGGTGTTTCTCTCTTTTTTTTTGAGGAAGGTTCGGCGAAAAGGACCCAGCCCCTCGCTTGAGAAGTGCGGCTGGGCCTCGGTGCAAAAACGTGTTGCCAGTCTGCGCAGAGCACCAAAATCTATTGAAGCCAGGGTAAGGCATTTGACGAGCCACCAAAACACCCCTCCCAAAGAATAAAAAGCTCTCAACTTGACTCAAAAAGGTTCCCTGGACAATTTCAAGCATGCAAAGCAGGTTGACACATGATTTCAGCAGTGTTTGAAAACTGCACGCATGTGGTCTGAGCTATATCGTACAGCAAGGTTCAATCGTCAAAGAGGCAAGCTTTGCGACGTTCCAGTTGCAAACATCACGATGCCAAGGGCAAACGTTTGCTAGGGCAGCATTCATGCCGATGTCCTTCCCTCTTTTTTTTTTTTGTCTTTTATGTTTTCTTTCTGTTTCTTCTTCTTTCTTTCTTTCCTTTTTCTTCCATCTTCACCTTTGGAATCGCTGGGGTGCAAGTGGAGCCGCGCAGAAAGGCGCAACAGCGTTTAAAACTCCGCCCGAAGAAAGAAATGAACGAGAAACAACAAGAATAATAAAGAAAAGAAAAGAAACAAACAAGAACAACACAGAAGCCTACCTCGCCTGTCAGGGGCCGACAAGGTGTGTGCGTGGCCGTCCTGCGCGCACACGTGCGCCACGCACATGCGAGTGAACGTGCCCAATTTGCGATGTGTTTGCTGCTAAACCTTATACAGGCTTTTCTGCTGCGGGGTCGTGAAGCAGCGCCAACTTATGATACCCTTGCCGCTTCTGCCCCCGCAACCGCCGCAATACGTGTGTGCGGTTTGCTGTCACCACCTTGCCCTGGTAGATGCCTCTTCCCAGGACCCGCAAAGCGCTGTCACCACGTTTCCGACGGCAAAGCGCTGCAGGCCAGGACCCGCGCGCTCAGGATCGCGCGCCTGCTTGCGCCGGCGAACCACCGCGCATCGTGCTCAGCAGCCCGCGGTTGATGGTGCAGTCTTGCGCACAGGCGAAACCAGCGTGACGTCGCATTGGGACTTGGAGTTTGTTTGGTTTGCAAGCGCAGCCACACACCAGCCATGCGCTGCGGCACACCCAGCCGTCAACAGTTGGTTGGTCGCCCCTTGGCATTGGCAAATGGAACCCGCTCCACGCGCTCAAGCGCGCCCGCTCCAGAAGCGGCCTGCTCCGTCCGTCTCCGCCGGCATTTCGCCAATGAGTGCAGCAGTGATTTGGACCTGGCGACAGCTGCCATGCTTTTGTTGCAGTCCGCCCCTGCGGCCGCGCAAGCCATGTTGCCGACTCGTCGTGAATTTGTGACTGAGTCGGTGTGCAGTGAGGTGTGGTCAAACGCCCCGACCCCATCTAGCTCACTGGCCGCGCGCGCTGCCCACGCATCTACCATCCGGCGCTCTGCGGTGGCCTTGTCGTCCACGAGGACGCGAAGCGCTGAGCGGTACACCCGGAGGGCCCGGCTGCACGTTCTGCAAAAATACGCTTCTGCGCAAGAGCTTGCTGGCGGCGCTTCCCCCCACTCAGCTTCCAATGTCGATGCGGGGTTGCCCTTGTGGGGCATTTCTGATAGGGGGGTTTCGAGCGGGCAGATGGCTCAGGGAGTGTTTGCTGTGAGGCTGCGAACCCCCATCAAAGCTCGCCGCTCGTTTTGTGACGCACGTTGGGCGCCGGGCGTCAAGGCGCTCAGGTCTCAACCGCAACTATTGCTGTCCCGGTCCCTACGCCGCCCACTCCGAGGAGCCTACACCCTGGGTGCAGCCCGGGGGTGCCCCAGCCCAGACACGTCCCCGCCCTTGGGGTTGCGCAGCTCTTGCCCGACCGTGTTCCTGTTGGCGTCGCATTTCCCGAGCTCCGCGTGCGCGGTAGCCTTGCCAGCCTAAACCTGCCCTCCTTCGGTTCAAGGTCCGCACGTTCAGGGCCCCCCAGTTGTCCATCCACTTGCTGCAGGGCGCGCTTGAAACTGGAAAGAAACTCTAGCTTTGTTGCCCCGGATGCTCCACAGCCTTCTCGCCGCCGCCGGCAGCGCCTGCGACTCGCTTCCTCCTGCCGGTCCTGGGTTTCCAATTGCCTGCTGGGCGCCGGACGCGTGAGGGGGCGTGTTTCGGCGGGTTTCACCGCAGTTGGACGGAAGAAGGCGTGAGTGAGTGAGTGAGTGAGTGAGTGAGTGAGTGAGTGAGTGAGTGAGTGAGTGAGTGGAGTGGAGTGGAGTGGAGTGGAGTGGGGTGGCGTGGCGTGGCGTGGCGTGGCGTGGCGTGGAGAGGAGTGGAGCGGAGTGGAGTGGAGTGGAGTGGAGTGGGGTGCTCGATGGAGTGCACTCCACGCACGTGGAGTGGTGCACGTGGAGTGGAGTGGAGCGGAGCGGAGTGGAGCGGAGCGGTGTGGAGTGTGGAGTGTGGAGTGTGGGGAGTGTGGGGAGTGTGGGGAGTGTGGGGAGTGTGGGGAGTGTGGGGAGTGTGGGGTGTGGGGGAGTGTGGGGGAGTGTGGGGGAGTGTGGGGGAGTGTGGGGGAGTGTGGGGGAGTGTGGGGAGTGTGGGGAGTGTGGGGAGTGTGGGGGGGGGGAGTGGGGGATCGACAGGCGCCGCCGTGGGGCGTGCCGTTGGCAGGTGTGTGGGCAGGGAGATGGCACGCCTGGCGGGACCTTGGAATCCGCGGGTGTGGGCGCCGGAGCGGGCGAGGGGACCAGGACAGCAAGTCCAGGGGCGCGCGTGGTTGTGGGGCGGCGCTCGATGTCCTCGGCGACCATGCTGCTGCGTGTGCTCGCGGCGGTCTTCTTGCCCGCCGCGCCCCCCTCATCGAGCAGGCTTGAGTTCGCGTCGCGCGCGAGGCCTGGGCCCGGAGGCTGGTGTAGTGCCGCAGCAGTAGCTGGCGAACACAACCGCGCCGGGCGTCGCCTCGGCGAGGGCCTTTGATGCGATGCGACGCTGTCACCCGCGGGCTGCTGAGCACGCACTTCGGAACTTGCAGGCCGTCATCGACCTGGCCAACAAGGAAGTGTACTTTGGAGCCTTGCAGGCTTGGGTCCCGATCGCCATTTGCCGAAGGGCTTGATCATCCGCTGTCGAATGCACCATACGCTCCTGCATGTGGCTTGGTGCGGGACACACTGGGCGTAACTCAAATTCGTTGTGGCCGATAGTTTCCCACAGTTTGGACCTGATGGGGTTCTCCAGGGGGAAGAGTCGGCCACTGTTGATCTGGCCCTTGATGAGGTCGGCCACGAAATGTCGCTTGGAGAGGGCGAAATGTGTGCCACGATGAGCATCCATGGCTTCCACCGCTTGAACTGGTCCTTGATCTGCTGTCGATGGTCTGGTCGCTTGAGGTAGTCAATGGGCTGAATCGCCACAAGGCCATAGTCCGGGGCGAAAGCCGAGAACTTAGCCGAAGACGTCGTACTGCGGAGCCTTGGTGCAGGTCAGCAGGGAATCATTTTCGCCCTCCAGCAACTTTTTTTTTTTCCGCACGCCTTTTCTCCAGCGCCTTGGTTTGTCCCCCCGAAAACCCTGCTTAAGGGGAGCCGCCGGGCACGGGAGGCACACAAGCCATTTGTACCCCGGGGGCCACCGGCTGTGCGAAGTGCAGCTAGCCGGCAGGCAGCCGGCTAGCGGTGAGGGGCGCCTCACCTGCATCTGCAAGAAGCTCACCCAGGGGCGGGAGCGCACCGTCGGCATGGCTGAGTGCCCCCGCCCGCTGGGTGAAGGTGGCAGCAAAGGCCGACATGGCTGCGTGGGACAGGAGTGCGGACCAGCGGGCAACAAGCACAGCGACCAGGCTGGACCGGAGACGAACCGGCACCTCTCGCGCCTTGGCTCGCGCGAGGGCGCGCACAAAGGAGGCCGCCTCGTCACTCCACCGGCCCCCGACCTCGACGGCCAAGACAACCAAGCGGCAGCGCTCCGAGCGGAGCAGCTCCGGGTATGTCCGCTCTTTGCGGCGGCGTGCAAGGGCAAGGGCGGCGCCTTGAACACGACCACCCCGGCGGCAGGGCTGCCCCGAGCCGGACAAGGGAGATACCAACGTGGTGTCGACGGCGAGCTGCTGCCCGCCCCACAACGGCAAGCCGTTGGCAACGACCTCAAGCCGCCGGTCGTCGACACGATCGACCTGGAGATTCATGTCTGCCAAGCGGGTGTTGCAAGTCACCCTCGCCCCGGCCTCGCGGCACACTCGCGCGGCGGCCCGCTCGAGAGGGCACCCGCGGCTCCGGAGGACACCGGCCCGAGCACAGGCTGCGCGGTGGTCGCCGAGGGAGTCCAAAGGGCGACGACACCGGCAGTAGCGCTGGGAAAGTGGCAGCGGAAGGCGCAGGCGCCTGAGAAGGAGGACGCGGAACAAGTGGGAAGGATAGGACAGGGCGGGGCACGTGGGCACGGTGGTCAAAAAGCGGCTGGCGAAGG